ATAGAATTATAATAAAAGAATATTTATTCTTTTAAACCTTTCAAAAAGCTTTTACGTGTACATATAATGCAGAACTTGAAGAAAAGGTTTTTGGTTTTTCATATTCCTGAAATGTATAATACCATTTCGGTGGTTAGGTTACTTCGACATTTTTCATAATTGATTATTTTAGAAACTTTATTAAATAACTACTTGATTTATATTTATCACTGATTAATTATTTCAATTATTTTTTATTATTTTCAAGGATTATTTTAGTAATTTTTTGGAATATCTTCTTTTTTTACTATGATACTATTTTAAAAATTTCTTTTTCTAGCGGATTCTAAACAATTTTTTTTTTAAAATTGCATTTTTTTAGTATTTCTTCTTTTGTATAATTTACTGCTTGCTTCTACTAGTTAATAACTTTAATGGATTTTACTAACTGATTAGCATAGCAATTAATATGTAATAAACTGTTTTTTAAATTTGTTTTGCTATAATTTCTTACTACGTCAAGCACAGTATAGTGAACACAGCTTATAGTGAACTCCCGGATATAGTGAACGAAATGTTCGGTCCCGTGCCTTGCTATACACTTATAATGTTATTTTTCGTGGATATAGTGAACCAAAAAAGTGAGGAAGTTGGATATAGTGAACTTTTTTCTGTCTTCGACAGATTTTTTTCTTCATTTTTTTGTAATAATTTTGAAATTTCTACTTCAAAGTAAATACATATACCGATTTTTAAAACCATCTATAAAGGGGAATGTAGCGATAAGCATTTTTGCTTGTTTGCTTCCTTTGTCTCACTTTCCCATCCCTAAACAAACCAAGCAGATGTGTCCAGGCAGGCAGGTGATGCACCTGTAAGGTGTCAATGGAATCAATATGCATTTTCTGTCAGAGGGAATGGGTAATTATTCATTATTGGTCAAAAAGGTGGACACTAATTTGTGTTGATAAGGCCCTCATTTCAACTCATTTTTGATCTCAGTTCAGTTAAAAAAAAAGTCTGCGAACAAGTGTCTCAAATTTAACTATGGCAAACAGTAAACGTAAAACGTTCTCCATTGATGATAAAATGGGCATAATCAGAAAAATTGAAATCAAGCTGATATTCGCAGGAAATCTAAACTATCCAAATCTGCAGTTTGTAACATATGGAAAAATAAGCAATTAATAATTTCTGCTCATGAAAAAAATTTAGATGTCAGAAAGAAATTGAGAAAAGCAGATCACAAGGATGTTGAAGAAGCATTACTAAAGTGGTTCAGCATTCGAAGAAGCCGTAATCATCCAGTATCTGAACAAATGTTGATGAATTTGCTGATCGATTTTGTGAAACTACTTTTATGTGCTCGAATGGCAGGTCAGACAGGTTTAAAAAGCGGAATAACAGAAATTTCGGAAAATTATCTGAGAATCGGGAAGTGTTTCCAAATCTGATGTTGAGGATTACTCATCAGCTAAAGGTTACGAATTTCTTTTTGCACTCAAGACGAGGAGTAATAAAAATTAACACATTTTTTGCTACTGCATAATATTTTTCAGTCATTTATTTGAATAATGTATGATAAAAGTTAGGAGTTTGGGAACCATTAGTCAAATTGTCGCGTAACGGATATAGTGAACTCTCGGTTATAGTGAACCGAAATTTCAGTCCCTTGAAGGTTCACTATAGCGGGGTTTGACTGTATTTGATTATTTTGTTAATTTTTTACCAATTAATAATTTTACAACTTTTTTAAACGACTAGGCATTTTAAACAGTTTTTTTTGTATATTTTTTCTGTTAATAACACTAGTAAACTTTTTTAAATAAATGTTAGATACTTTCGTATCGCTGATTTCAAATCTGCAGTCGATTTCTCACGCTGGCTAAGGTATTTTTAAATGAAATTTGTAATCTAATCTTTATCAAAAAATACACGTTTAGAAGTGTTATGTATAACAGGGGCCAAAAAAGTTACAACAAATGGTTAGGGGAATTAGGGTAAATCATCAGAATTCAAATTGTATAGGAACCAATGACCGGAAATGTCAACGTACGCCGCTAGGGGTGCTTTTCAATTATGAACTGCTTTTTCCAGTGTTTCTGAACAGGTCAGAATAAAGAAGCTTCCTCGTGCAACGACATTTTCGGTCATGGATTCCGATGACATTTTAAACCCAGTGATGAGTCCTAACTACCTTTACAGTTTGTTCTGTTATATCCCCTGTATAACATTTTTTAAACTTGTACATTTCGACAAAAATAGACTGAAAATGTCATTTTAAAAATTGTGGCTTTAGAAGCAAAAATAAATTTAGTTTTGAAATACTCTCATTTGAAATACTACGAAATATCAAAACTGTGGCAACTGTCTTAATGTGGAACTGACACCATATCATGTTTTTAACTGCCCGCAGTCGCTGCAGGCCTTCACCTCTTAAACTACCCCACAGAAGAGGATTTGTATTCATTTAATGCCATAGAAATAACAAAAACTATTCAAGCACACCTTGAAATATGATTCAATAGAGGATACGACACCAACCAACCAAATACTCTCACCCAAATTAAGCAAGTTCAAGTATTTTTATAAATGCAGCAAAAAACTTATTCCCCGGTATAATTCATATTCAGAAATTTCAGAGATTTTATAAATTATTGGGTTAAATATATTACTACAAACTTTTTCATTAATTTATTATAATTTTTTTTTATTATTTTATTTCACTAATTTTTATAGTGTCATTATTCACCCATTTTTTTAAAAAGGAATATTTTTAAATCTACTTTATTAACTATTTTAATAACAGATTTCTGTACTTATTTTTAACTAATTGATAAACATAGTATTTTCTTCCTTTGTAAAGGAGTTCTCAATTCCAATTTTTTTTTTCTGGGTGTAAAAGAATTTTAATATTGGGAGAAAATTTTAGTTTATAATAATTATAATATTGTGTGAATTAATTTATTTTTAAGTTCTTTAAAAATCAATTTTCATGGGGAAAAAATTACATAAATAAAACTATTTCCAAACAAACTTCCAAATATTTTTTTTCTTTTAAATATTTTCTAATGACAAATAATAGTTTTATCTTACAAATATTCAAATATTTTCTAATGATAAAAATTAGTTTTTTTATTACAAATATTCAAATATTTTCTTATGACAAATAAGAGTTTTTTCTTACAAATATTCAAATATATTCTAATGACAAATAATAGTTTTTTCTTACAAATATTCAAATATTTTCTAATGATAAAGATTAGTTTTTTTCTTACAAATATTCAAATATTTTCTTATAACAAATAAGAGTTTTTTCTTACAAATATTCAGATATATTCGAATGATAAATAACAGTTTTTTCTTACGAATATTCAAATATTTCCTAATGACAAATAAAAGTTTTTTCTTACAAATATTAAAATATTTTCTAATGATAAACAATAGTTTTTTCTTACAAATACTTCCGAATTTAATGATTAAATTTTAAAAAGCTATTCTGTATAAAATGGTTAATTTATGAAGAAAAAAAAATTCCGAATTTTAAAGAAATACTTTTAAATATAAGCATGATGATTAAAATAAGATTTTTTAGGAAATAAACTTTCTTCAAAGCGAATACTAAAAACTAAGCTTTACAATTCTTTCAGAAAATATGATTTACCTTAATATTAAAAGAAAACAGTATTAAATTAAATATTCACGAAACAATGCCGAAAAAAAATGTTTAAACATTGAAAACATACATAACAATATTTCTTTCAAAAATGGATATTTTTCAAGACGGTGTTAAATGCTTAATGTTGAAAAATAATTAAATATGTAATATTTCAGAGCGAGTCAGAATTGAGAAACATTTTTCGTTTGTATTTTTAACGATATTTTGTGCTGTAGTACTTACTTTTAATATTTAATAGAGATTCTGAACAAGAGTTAGTTCAAACAAGCTGGTGCATTACCTCAAGTTGTTTTCTGGTTGTAGTTTAATCATTTATCCTTAATTACAGGAAGGACTTTAGGAATTAATATTTTAACATCTTCCACCGAAAATAAATAAGATATTACGGTATTATTACAGTCATTTTAGTTACTTGTGCTTTTTCTTCAGTGAGTCCATTATTTAAAAACTTAATTTTCCATAAGCGAATTCGTCTTAAATAACCTAAATTCCATCTTTAAAAATAAAATAATTAATAATAAAGTCAGGAAAACATTTGCTTAAGGAATATTTGCCTAATTAATCTATCCTGATAAGAAATAATGCTTTTTTTATCGAATAATAATCTATAACTCAAGGGACGTGACAGCCCATAGAGGGCCAAAGCCTACTGTGCCCATCAGTTTTTTTTGTTTTTTTTTGCCAAATCAGATGTTCCGGTTGGGTGTTCAGCCCAACGAGGAACCCCCAGTGTTTAGTTCCCAAGCATGCTTGGTATTCATTTTATCGACCCACTGAAAGGATGTGAGGCTGAGTCAACCTTGCCCGGCCCAGGGATCGAACCAATGACCCGTGACACGACAGAGCGAAGAGCTACCACTCAGCCACCGGGCAGAATCTATTCTATAATAATCATTTTCATCAATGTTGTAAATTTGTAACAATTATTGTAGTTCTTTCATTAAACAACATTTTTTGTGCAAGCCATGAAAATTACGCGAAATGTTAGTATGAAAAATAGCCTCAGTTTTATGAAAATGAAAACCTTTTCTCGTATAATTTTTATGTGTGAGAGGTAGCTTAAAAGCCACATTGTTTGAATTTATAAAAATATGGAAAACAGCAAACATTTCTTTTGTGTAAAAAATACTATTTTTGAATTGCATTAATTATGTTGAAAACCCTTATAACTTCTTAACTATTAGTCCGATTGCATTGACATTAATTTCATCGATGGCTTCGAAACTTTCATTCAAAAGTAGTATTAGTACTGTTGAGAAAAATGCAAATAATAATAATAAAATATGCTTTTTCAAAGTGATGTTTATTTTGTTTTAACTCATTTTTTTATTATATATTCTAGTGATCCAAAGAGAAAAAGAACGAGAACTGATAAACAAAGTATGTTGCTTGGAACAAGGACTGAACGCAACAGATACCTGACAATAAGACTTCTCATTCTTTAAAACAGTGGAACATTAAAATGTCGAGGATGCATTTTGAGAGGTAAATGTGTGATTTTTACTTAATCAAGAAGTAAATTATTTCATAAAATGGTGAAAAAAACAACAACAAAAATATTATCATGTTGTAAAAGATTCAAATCCCATTCCGGTAAAATGTTCCGGCACTAAGGGCAACACCTCTCAGAATAGAAAATGCCTCAGCATCGATTAATTTAGTAGTCCAATGTAACGAACATAAACTGCGCGGTGAGGCGAAATACGAAATATGTCATTACGTTTGAACAATTACACTGCGCAGTGAGGAAAAAGTACGAAAGATATCACTACGTTCAGACTACTAAAAGATCAGATTTCTTGTATTATGGTAACGCATTATGGTAGAGGCCTTTTTTTTCTAGGAGGTGATGCTCAAGGTGCCAGTTTTTTTTCATCGCAAAATTTTCGCAATTTTTCATAAAATTTTACGAAATAAAAAGTCTGGTATACCGAAATTTTCCAAGTAATATTTACTTTGAAATCACTAAATTGCTGTATTCACATAAATATTATTGAAAAAATTACGGTATAAAATTTTAAGGTTATAATATATTCCTCAGTAACATGGATGTTACGAATGCTGCACTCAGGATTCCAGTACTTTTTATCGCGATTTGAACAGGAATTTTTTTACAGTGCAGGCAATAAAGAGTTTTTTTATAGAAAGAAAGTAAACACTTTTAGAAGTCACTAACTTTTAGCATTGTTACTTAATAGTTATAAAAAAAACTTCATCAAGTGCGAAATACTTTATTAATTGTACAAAAATCTCTTAGTTAAAAATAAATAATTTGTTTTATTAAGAAAATGCAATATTTTATCGGATTATAGGTAATATTAATCAAGATGAAAAGAAGCATTATCAGGATATAAATAGTTCTTATTAAAGATAAAACGAAAAATGTAATATATACTACCTAATAATACGAAAAATAAAAGACTGTAAGCAATTTAACACGTTTATTAAAACCCAACTAAATATTGTAATCAAAAACTAAAATTGACCCAAAATGCTGATTTTCTCCTCTGATTTCTTTCTGTATCGATATTCTTTTTGATTTCTAATTTTATTTTTGTCTAAATTTACTCTTTTTTTATATTTTTTCGATGTTTCCTAAATGTTACCGATGTGTACGCAACGCAACTCTCTAAAAAATGTTTAAATGTGTACACTGCGCAAAATAAAACTGGAGCTCTTTTGCAATTTTGATCATATCGAGTTATCAAGTTTTTATAATGCAAACTTAATGCCACGATGATTTTATCAAGTGCTCCCCAATCATTTTATCGCCGCGGTCCGTTCAACGTTGAATAATTTTATCTCGGCCCGCTGAGGGGAAGGAAGAGGCATTAATTTTTATTTTTATTTTAGATAGTTTTAATTGAATAAATTTAGTTTAGTTGTATTTGAACATGCCTTCAAGCAATGTACAATTACATGTGGGGTATTGGTGCTGCTTTAGTTGACGTATATCAGTACTGGTTAACCTCCCGTCAACGAAAGATAGACAAACTCAAGAGTAATACACCTCTGTAAATAAAATGGAAATAATTTAAAATTCTTTGGGCAACCTGGTAGCATTTGATCATAGATATATTAATCCCTGCATTATTGCCTATATTAGTCCCTGCATTTGATCCACAAGCCGGTACCAGTCTGTTGCCCGGGGTTCGGAGACAACAGGTTTAAATCATTGAGCGCTAAACCTCTCCTTATATAAGCAACTACTCTTAATTTTTTCCTACTTCCCCTTCGTCCAATAGTTTAAATTTTAGTATTGAATCGCAAAATAGAAAAATATGATTATTTTATTTTAATTTTTATGACAGGGAAAAGTATTTATTAAGTATTCAAATTTTATAATGAAAATTGAAATAATGAAGAAGAAAAATTGACTTTTTCCTATTTTATTTTTTAAACACAGTCTTAAAAATATATATTTAAAATATTTATTTAGTATTCAAACCTGAAAATTGAAATAATGAAAAGATTTTGAATTTTTCCTTTTTAATTTTTTAACCACAATCTTTAAAAATATTTTTCACTGTAATTGAGAAAATATTTAAAGTACCGTCATTCGGGGCTACTTTGTGCAGGATTTCGCAGTTTTTGAACTTTGACATGTAAAAAAACTATCTTAATTTAAACTTTAGCAAATTTTATCGATATTATATTCATAACTGGACTCAGACGAGTGAATTCGATCAATATTGGCATTATTTGTATGTAATATTTACGAATAATAAGTCAAAACATACCTTGNGATTTTTTTTCTTCATTTTTCTCCTAATTTTACAATCTAAACAAATCATAAATATGCAAGAAACGTTTATAGCTCTTTAATTGTTACTAAAAATAATTAAAACTGTGTTTAATCTGTGTTATTTTGTCATTCCAACAATGGGTTGAGTACTTCGTATTTTTTAACTGTATTAATAATGCGTGTATGATTCATTATATAATCGAATTTCTGGTCATATTACACATCCTCTTCTGGTCTAATTTAAGGAGCAAGTTTTGATTGCTGGTGACCCAAAAATATGAACCTTACTATGCTCTCAGTCACTCTCAAACTCAGTGGCGCGACAGCCCATAGAGGGCCAAGGCCTACTGTGCCCATCTCAGTATTCTTGACCTTGGACTCTGGTGTGCAGGAGCAGATGTTCCGGTCAGGTGGTCAGCCGAACGCGGAACCCCCAGTGTTTAGTTCCCAAGCATGCTTGGTACTCATTTATCGATCCACTGAAGGGATGAAAGGCTGAGTCAACCTTGCCTGGCCTCAAGATCGAACCAGGGACCTGTGTCACGACAGCGCGAAGCGCTACCGCTCAGCCACCGGGCGTCACAGTCTCTCAGGGCGTCACGGGCTCTCAGTCACACATGCTTATAATATTTTTAAACATTTCGCGGACTTACAATTAAGGAATACTACATTAAAAAAATTACATATTTACTTATTATTCAATAGACTCAATAAAAGATATGTATAAATCCTTAGGTTCAGAGTATTTATTTTTAATGCGCAATGCAATGCCACGTTCCCTGTCAAGCTGGTACTCAAGAAACTGAAACTTCAATATAATACTGAGATTTCAACCCCAGATGGTCATGCTGAGTGCCTTTCAACTGTCAGCCATCGTAAAAAGTGCTCACAAACAAGGGTTCGCACAGATGGCCTCAGCCCAGAAATATACAGTGGAATTTATTTGGATTCGACCCACTTGAAAAAACCCATCTTTTTATCCACAAAGTGGGTTTTTTCATGCTTTATTATTTCCAATCAATTTTCTTTGCAATTATCAAATGAAATTTTTCTTTGAAATTATCAACTAACTGTTTTATAAGTTTAACTTAGTAACTTTTTATACAAAATGTCATCATGTATTAGGGGGACCGGAAAGTATTGTCGTTTCGGCGCACATGATATTTGTTTACAAGATTTTATTTTTAATCAATAATGTATTCACCCTCGTTAGCAACAACCTTTCAATCCTGGATCGAAAATGAATCGAAACGGATCGGAAAAAAATGAATTGGTTTTTAAGATTAACGAATATTTAATGCACCGAAACCACATTACTTTCCGGTCCCCCTAATATATGCTATATTTATATATACTAAATATAGACATCATATCTTAAGTCTATATTTAGCATATATACGAATGCATGAAGAATATACGTTAAAAAGCTGATTTATTTTCAGGCAAAATAATCTTTTCGCAAAATATTTTTTTAAAAGAAACCGCGTGGTGTTTCTTATAAGAAACCCACATGGGTTGAGTTTTTTCTCAAAATATTTGGTTTTTGCGAAAAAATCATAGTTGTGAAAATTGCGAACAAATAAGTGAGAAATTTAAATTATTATGTTTCTAACATTAATGCTAAGTAAGTGTGAAAAAGCAAGAAATCGACAATACTTTGGCTTAGTTATTTGACCGACTTAATTATTTGCTCTTTTTCCTATCTAATACTGCTTTTGAGGTAAGAACACTAATTAGGCAGCTATCAACCAGGGGGCACTTTAAGCGGTATCATCAAGTAGCAAGTAAAGAACATTAGCTACATACTATTTTTTTTCTTTACTATGATAGCAGCTTGTGTGGATGGAAAGATTGCTTGGAGGTAAAAAAAAAGCGAAATTTAGCAGAAAAACAAACCTATGTATTCCTGAATAAACAATATTCTTTTTTTTTTCAGGTTATACGAAAATTGCTTCTTTGAGGGAATAACCTGATATGTAAAAAATATGAAGAACAGCTGTTGTTTGCGGTTAATCTACTGTTTATATTTCAATGTAAGACAAATATTTATGCTTCGAACAAATGTATGTGCCAATATATTGTATTTGATCTAAAAATAAAGATAAATAAGGTCTCTATATTACATAGGATATGTTTCAAAAATTAAGTACTCACAACAATAAAAATTGCAAAAACTTTTTTTTATTATAGTAGCAATTGAAGCTCTGTGAATTAAGACAATAAATACCAATCAACCGCAAATCTTAAGATAAATGTATATTACTTCCATCTCTATATCAAATACTTTTTTTAACGGCAGGGGCAGAACTTATTCCTTTTGCTGTGGAAGGTGCCGGATGTGCTGCCCATTTTGCGTTGGCTGGTGAACACCTTATGAACAAAATTACGAAAGCGAGCAACATTACCCACGCCATACTGCCACAGATACTTGTTGATAAGGTGAGCCTCATTCACGCATCGCATACAACAAAGGACAACACACAGAAGCATCCCTGCTCTGAAGGGGATTCGAACATGCAGCCATTGGCTTCACAGTCAGGCACGCTAACCACTCGGCCAGCTGGCTGATATATCGAATACGGAAATATCAAATGAATAGCGATATCAAAACTATACTCATTAAGATAAGAAAAGCAATTGTCCTCTTTGCGCCTAATTGCACGCCAAATGGATGCCAAGCTCACAACGCGAACGTATATCAACATACAGCACTGACTTTTGAAGTGACGTTGCACAGAGTTCTTTTTGTTTGCAATCTTATTAACCACAATAATCAATCAACAAGTAATAATAATAATTAAAACTGACACCTATTAATCGCAACAAATATCGCACCTATTAATCGCACGCCAAATGGATGCCAAGCTCACAACGCGAACGTATATCAACATACAGCACTGACTTTTGAAGTGACGTTGCACAGAGTTCTTTTTGTTTGCAATCTTATTAACCACAATAATCAATCAACAAGTAATAATAATAATTAAAACTGACACCTATTAATCGCAACAAATATCGCACCTATTAATCGCACGCCAAATGGATGCCAAGCTCACAACGCGAACGTATATCAACATACAGCACTGACTTTTGAAGTGACGTTGCACAGAGTTCTTTTTGTTTGCAATCTTATTAACCACAATAATCAATCAACAAGTAATAATAATAATTAAAACTGACACCTATTAATCGCAACAAATATCGCACCTATTAATCGCACGCCAAATGGATGCCAAGCTCACAACGCGAACGTATATCAACATACAGCACTGACTTTTGAAGTGACGTTGCACAGAGTTCTTTTTGTTTGCAATCTTATTAACCACAATAATCAATCAACAAGTAATAATAATAATTAAAACTGACACCTATTAATCGCAACAAATATCTGTCTTTTTGTGCGCATTTAAGGAAACTGTTGAAAAGAATCTTATATAGAGAATTCTCTTACGTGGCTCCCAAATTTTGGCTGTATTTCTTTTCCGCCGGTGGCAACGTTTGCTTTGTTTTGTTTACGTTACTATTTCTCTTACACGGCGAATCGACCAATGATTGCCGCTAAAAATGTCACATGCCAAATCTAGCTGAGGTGGCTCAACATATAGCGCTTTTAAAAACGGAAACTGAAATAACCAGAGAGCATCAGCTGCGGCAATCTCATACTATTAAGCTAGGCAGAAGTGAGTAGTCTTTGTCGATAGATCTCTATTTTAGTATTTTGTCGAAAGCGCTTTTTTTCACGAATTTATATATTACGAATTTATTTGACGATTTTTGATTTATATCACGAATTATACTATAGCACATTTCTAATAGGTTTAACGAATTACATGTCGTTTATTTGAATTCAAATTTATTTTAATGACTTAGTATTTACTAAAAAGATGTAATTTTTTTATATGGATTTGAATTATTGTTTTGAATTCTTAGAATTTTGTGCATTTGCAAAGAACCTAAGTTAGTAGTGAGCGAAGCGAGCTTCGTTTACGAAGCAAACCATATAAGATTGCGTAGCAATTTTCGGGGGTTGGCGAGCGTTACCGAGCAGGGGGAGCAGCCCATTAGTAATAAATAATATTGTTTCTTCCAGACGATTATCTTCCGCAGCGAAACAAAGGTAAATATCCTTTATCTTGCATTTAATTTGTTAAGAACATGTCAGCATAAGAAACACTCATTTTAGTGGTCCAATCAAATTCAGTACTCTTGCAACGTCATATAGTTTGCTTGTTTTTTTTCCAAAAATGAATATTCTCCCAATTTATCGAAATACGACGCAAAGTCTAGGATTCGAGTAAGTCTACGAAATTATAAAATTTCTTTAAAAGGTTAAAAAGTAAAACTAAAATTAAGCGGTCCAATATTTGGCCCGCTCACCTAACCACACTATTGTGATCGCATTTCCCAGATTGTATCTACAGCCTATATTGTAGGTGTCAGAATTCCGAATCCATCGGCAAAAAAGGTACGTTTATTCAGAGAAAGTATAGTTTTTGTCTGATTTTGTCGCTTAAAATATCGTCTGCACTAATTAATTAGTATATTTGAGGTCACCCCCTCAATAAACCATTAAGATTGAGTCCGAGGACATGAAGATCCGATCATTAGATCAAAAGTTACTTAGAGTCGTCCGTTTATTTTTTTTTTTCTCACTGCACATACATTATCCTATCCTGCAGATAAATCATGACAACATTTAAGCATATCTCCATATCATATAAGCACATTGTCATGCTATATAAGTATATCATCCATCATGTCACATTAGTACATCCTCCTACCATATAAGCATATCGTCATATCATACAAGTAAATACTCAAATTATATAAGCATATTATCATGTCTTGCACGTAATTACAGAATAATCTAATGGAATCCCTCAGGTAGCTTGTGGCTGATTTACTTCGCCTGTGTCATACTATTGCTAGTGGCGTTCATTATGTAACAATTGTATTCAAAAATTAACAAATTACAAAGGTTATCATGATTTTTTTCTTATCAAACTATACACCGCGCAAGACAAATTGTATTTCAAATTAAATTTAAAATTATTAGCTTCTTTAAATCTTCAAAGTCAATATTAAAACTATTAATTTAATGATAAAAATTGTCCCCCTGAATTCATCACAATTCAATTCATTAATTATCAATAAAATGTACAAATCCGCTGGAATTTTTCTTTTAAAAATTAATTCCAAAATTTTGTGTAAGCAGAATTTTCCATTACATAATCTATTTACAATTCTTAAATCTCGAAAGAAAATTTCAGACGATACAAATATGAGAAATTTAAATAAAATCGGTGGCAGTAGCTTGAAACTGAAAAGAGAAAGTATATAACGCCACGTTTAACAAAGGCTATATATCACTGCTGCTAGATTTTACTTCTTTCTTTTTCTTTTTTTTTACATTTCATAAACTATGTACGCTGATATATTTCTTTTATCCTCATTTTTTTCCGAAATTCTAGAAAAGAGTGTTCGGTGAAGCAACTAGTTCAACACATCCATTAATTTTAAGATGTCGGAGCGACAGTATATCTTAACGTTTACATCCACGTTTAATTTAAAAGGAAATTTCTTTCGCTTTCATAGATTCCCCATCCTTTTAATCTTCCTTTATTGTTAACTCTTTAACCATTTTTTTTTCTTCTTATTGGCTTTTGAAATCAGCGAGATAAAATTTATTAGATTTTTTATTAATTCTATTATTTTTTTTTCTTTGAAATTAAATAAGTACGTATCTTTCTTTTATGTTTATAAATATAGAAGTTCTATAATATATATAAAAGTTCTATAATATATATAAGTGCAGCGGTGTATAAGAGTTCTTTAATTTACATAAGAGGAGCAATTTATAAGAATTCTATAATATGTAAGAGCAGCGGTGTATAAGAGTTCTTTAATTTACATAAGAGGAACGATTTATAAGAATTCTATAATATATGTAAGAGCAGCGGTGTATAAGAGTTCTTTAATTTACATAAGAGGAGCGATTTATAAGAATTCTATAATATATGTTAGAGCAGCGGTGTATAAGAGTTCTATATAACATATAAGAGCACGATGGCTCAGGGGATAGAGCATTCGCCTTCCGACGAGGTGAACCGGGTTTGAAACCCAGTGGTGGCTGGTCAATTCGATTTCCGCAAACGGCTTGCACGGACCACAGTGCTTACGTAAAATATCCTCAGTAGTAGACGGATCATGGGTTAGAGTCCTCTTGCCGTCAGGATAACCGTGGGAGGTTTTTGAGGTTTTCATCTCCACGTAAAGCAAATGCGGGTTAGTTCCTTCAAAAAGTCCTGCACGAAGGCGAAAATTTTCCCAATACTTGATCCAGGAATTTCCTTGTCTTCTGGATTGTGTTCAAATGTATAAGGCTACGGAGTTGAACATTGGTAGTCGTAAACTTAAAATTGGGTTGGCTGTTCAACGACGGTTAAAAGATGAAATATACTAGGCATAAAATATTTAATTAGTTTTGTTTAACCCTACTATTGTTAAGCTCTTAATAGTCTTAGCAAAGTTAAGTTAATAGTGTTGTTGTTACTAGTGATCGATCAGTGTTAATAGTGTAACTAAAAGCGTTAAAGTTGATATAGAGTTACTACTTTTACAATTTCCAACGATTAACAGAACAGATTAATAAAATAGAACTCTAAATAATCAACCTTTTTTCGGCGCAACCCCGACTTTATGAATAAAATTTATTAAGGAAATTGTGAACGTTATAACCAATCAAAAGCTATTTTTAAAAAATTTAATTGGAGGAAAACTTTTTATCGTGATAACATTAATACTCGTGAATTTGGTTTTATGTCCGACTGTTAAATTTGCAATCTTTGTGCTATATCTAGTCTAGATATGAATTTGTTATTGCTGTATAAACATAAGCTAAAAATGAACAAAATAAGAATAATTATGGTTTTACTTCGATATAAAAACTTAAAAGAACTGCTATAAACGCTGAAAAATGTTATTAGGGAAACATATTTCCTCATTAAATAATTTAAGTACTTTCTTTTAATTTGAAAAGCGTGATAGCATACACTGATGCAATATTTTATAAATGCTTATTCTTTTCATAATTTGTTCAATATGTTGCTATTACTTGAACTA